TAGTCAATCACCCTGTCAATGGAGAATTATTTGATATACTGTACTTTCTAGGGTTTTGGCCAGTCTCACTCTTTTTAAAAAAAAAGTTAAATGAAATTTCCACCAATACCCTTGGGGAGACTATTCTACAATCTAATTCATCTTGATGTCAGGAAATATTTTGAGAGATTTGTCTTAAATATTCTCTCTTAGCCTCATTCCATTGCTCCAGATTATGCTTATATGTATTACACTAAATAATTATCCTCAGTATTTATACCCTTGAAATATTTGTACACTGTTTCATGTCCTGCCCGCCTTACTTTCTTGCTTTATCTATACATATTTAGTTCTTTTTTTTTTATCTTGTAGACAGGCTCTGCAGCCCCTTTTTTTTTTTTTTTTTTGGTTCTCTGAATTCTTTCCACCTTGTCAGTATCTTTCTGATGTGCCCAGAAAGCATATTGCAGACTCACATAAAGAGAGACTGTTACCTTCCTGCTCCAGGATGAGATTGCTATTGCATGAAAAGTCCTAAGTCCCCCTGCCTTCTTTAGTCAGATCACGTATCTATTGGCTTTCCAGTATCACTTCTAGGTCTCTTTCAGGGTGACCACTTCCCATGTTTCTCCCCCCTATTAAGTAGAGCTGGGTGAATAATGGATATTTCAGTTTGCTGGCACTCGTGAAAAATCATGGGAAAAAATCATTGTGTTGAACCAAAACCAATATTTTTTAATTTTTCTGCAAATTGGAGAAGTAAAAGTTTAAGTTCCCCCTCTGCCTGATGTGGAGAAGGGATTTGAACTTGGCAAGAGAATGCTCTAGCCACTGGGTTATGGAATATTCTGTTGTGGGTCTCTCTGTCTGTCCTGTTGAAGCTGTTCCATGGTGTGTAAGAGCAGGGACATGAACTTGGGCTTCTCACATCCTAGGTGAGTGTCCTAACCACCAGGGTCTAGGATAATTTTTGCACTTTCCATGGGCAGGTGATTCATTGTCATTCACAGCAGCAGTTCATAGTCATTCATGTCTAGAGTTGCCTCTTGTTTACAGTTTCAAGCCAGGTTTCGTCCACTGCATTAAGGTCTTATCTAAGCCAATTTTAATTAAGTTTTCATGAAACAGTAATAAATGTTTTATTAAAACCCAAATATATTACATACAGTATGCTTCTTTTGTCAACTGATTTTTGTGATTTTATTTAAAAAAAAAATGCAATCAGGTTTGTCTGGCAGTGCTTATTCTTTATCAGTCTATGCTGCCTATTGCTCATGATTCACCTTACTCTATAAATGGCTAGGGATTCTTTTTTTTTTAACTGAATTTCCTTGCTCTACATCCTGTACAGCACAGTTACAGAACAGAATATATAGCTATCATTGGTAAAAAGCCACATGAAGGAAAACACCAAATACTTGATCTTAGTGGCTTGCATGGATGAAAACAAGTATCTTCACATATTACTGGAGATTACAGTTGTAGAGAGAAACAGGAAATTATGCCTACATTTTTCATTCTTATTGGTGTCTACAGCTTGCTCTAAACAAAGTTGCACCAGTTTAAATCAGTACTACATCCTTTCTTTATTTAAACTAATGTAACCTGTGTGTAGACAAGTTCTAGATATCTTTGCTGAAAAAACTTTAGAAATAAATGTGTGGATGTTTATTGCAATATTTTTGGTTATTACATAAGTGTAATAGGATAGCTGTAGTCTAATCAAACTAAAATAAGATAATTTTAAAATGCCACTTGAGTACAAATGCTAATATCATTTTTTTTACTAAAGTGCAAATTATGCTCTGTACATAGATTCATTTTCTTTGCTTAATATTGTTGCATCTGCCTTGAAATGGGAAATAGTTTAGTTTCACTATAACTTCTGTAAAATAGCTCTGTGTCCTTTGCTGAAATGCTAGTTTTGAACTAATGACAGCAATTCTCCTCAGTGAATCACAGCAAGTATCCCTAATGTTTGTAAAGCCCTTGGAAAATGGAAAAAGGTGGTGAAATGTGCTGCTTATTGTATTTTATTTGCTTTAAAATTGTATTGACTAGTGTGCCCTTGGAATTGAAATTAAACTATGGATGTGGTTTGTCATGTATGTTGACAGAAAGTAAAGGTGCTACAAGCAATCGTGAGAAGAGAGATTGGTTGAGCAGTTGGGGGGCCAAATTTTGATCTCATATACACTGGGGTAAATTCAAAGCAACTTCTAGAGTTATTCCCTCAATATTTTAAGTGTATTTTGTACGGTTTTTTTTATTAAGTTAATAGTTAATACGTTCAACTCAATCGTGTTGTACAATAAGGCTTGCATTATGTACACTGTGTAAGATACTTTCTTTTTACAGGTACCCTATTCCTCACACTGGGCATGCAATTCATTTACTATTCCTTAGCTCTATGACACACTCTTCTACTTTTTATCCAGTCCAAATATTTGGACTGTAAGAACATATTTGGACCAAACATGTTTGAATTGAAGAACATATCAGAGGGTTTGATTCTCAGATAACAAGGTGATGGAAATGGTATAAAAACATAGGCTTCCACAGACATGCATAGCACTTCACATAAATAAGATAGATTCCCTAACCTGAAAAACGTAGTGTAAGGTCCTGACCTGCATGTTGCTTCATGTAGGCAGGCCCCTTGCTACTATGTACAGCCTCACTAACTTCACTGGGCCTCCTCATGGGTGTTAGAATCCGTCAACATGAAGCAGCTTGTGTGACTGGAGCCAAAATAAACAAAAGGCTAGCAAGAGGGGAAAACAAAGGGAAAGGATGGAGAAAGAAGCAGTGAGAACACAAAGATTATATTAGTCACATGGGACGATGTATGTTTTGGTGGTGGTTTAGATTTAATTAAAACTATGGGTTATAGGCAAGCTTATATAAATTGGATTTTAAGAAGGGATTTTAAGGAAGAGAGAGACTGTAATACACAAGAGAAGCAGATATCTGGTTTTATAATAATTTTTGAGTTTGACACTCATGAGTCATTGGAAACTTACCCCTTATGCATCAAAGTCTTCAGCATATTTTGGAATAATATATGACCTACATGACATAGCAGGAGTACAGGGCTCAGCATTCAGTGGCTCCAGTTCCTCTCCAACAGAGAGATCTATGTCATGATGGGTAATTGCTCTTTCTCTCCAAGGGCTGCACATGGAGATCCATATTATCTCCTCTCTTCAATATCTACATGAAATCAATGCAAAAGACAGTGAGATGCGATGTACTCAGCTGTCAACAGTATGCTGATGACACTCAACTCAGTTGCCCCCTTCACCCAGAAACTCTCCCAGACAGTAACTCTCTCAACACCACCTAGTGCTGGTAACAAACGTAGACAATATAGGACAACAGAGAGAAAAAGGTTCTGCACCATCTGGGCTCAGCTTTCAGTTGTTTCCCTATCCGCTGTAGAGCTCTGACTCTCAGGGCTTTTCCCCTGTGGGAGTCTTCCCTCATCCTCTTCCAGGCTGTCTGCCTGGGAGTTATCCTTCTCCAGGGCCTGCCAGAGGTGCCATTTGCCCTTCTGCAGCTTCTCTCTCCAGACTGAGCTCTCTCAGCTCTTCACAGGTATCCCATGCTCCCTTCCCAACTGGGTCTAATAATTAAACAGGGCCATCTGATTCCTAGCCAGTCAGGTCAGCTGGGACAGTAGCTCATCTGTCACAGGCAAGGTTGCGTCCAACGCCCCTTAAGGGGCCAGCCAGCCTGTGACAAATCTCCCCCAATTAGAGTTTTTACTCAAAAACAAAATCACTCTGAAGTCCACAATAAACTATTATGTGTATTTTACATGCAAGATGCTCAGATACTATGGTAATTGGCAGTCATAAAATCTTATGATAGGTGTAAGAAGGATTTTCCTTCTATGTTTTCATGAGGTTTTTAAATTACATTTACATTAATGTTTCTCTTAGCTCTCCCATTTTAGATAAAGAAGACTTTCAGAACCATGACAAAAGGTACAAATAAGCACTTCTAACTTCTGTTCAAACTTATAGAACCAAACAACGTCAAATAATTTAGTATCCTGACAGCACAGACTTCTAATATTTGTGGTGTGTAGCTATGTAATGCATTTCAGGCAGAATGCAGATCTTCATAGTCAATCACTTTCATACAGTAGCTCACCATGAATCAGTTTTTGCATTTTTTTCAGACATCGTGATTTCTATTCAGACGCTTGACCTACCACAGAAACCACTGTTGCCTCATAACCTAAAAAATAAACATGATTTGCAAATGAGAATTAGAGTTCTTTTGAAAGTAGGGCTTAGGCTCCTAAATCACTTGGATGCTTTTGAAAATTGTACTCATAGTCTAGCTATGTGCAATCATATTTCCAGAGTGTAAAAAGATGAAATCATAGCAGAAATTTTACAAGGAATCTTCAGAAGAATAGACTGCAAAAACTACATACTGCCCTTTTAGTTTGGGCTTCAGATCACATGAGAAAATATATAGAGGCCACATTTGGAAGCTTGGAAAAAAGCTTCCTGGAATGCTTTTCTTCAAAGGTCATTAGTGATTCTATTGGAGATCAGCAGCTGGCTTAAATTTTGGGTAACATCAATGTTAACTGCCCTGATTAAATCAATTTTATAGTTGCTATTTCCACTCCTACATTTTCATATTCTATCATAAAATTTAACTTCTTGATTCATAGTTCCTGTGCTAAGAATAAGATAAGAACCTTTGAGTCAATTTATTTTTTGGGGGTGTTTGAGGTTTATAACAAAAGTATGGACTGTACCTATTTGATGTGACCTGCGTTAATATAATTGGTTTCTTTAATGTGTGTGGTTACCAATACATTATGATTATGATAACAGGAAAGGCTTCAAAGAAAGCAGTTTCTTTTATGAATATATTACCCTTACCTGTAGCTGTGTTGATAGGCATGCCCTCATTTAACATATGGTCTTTGTGGGCTCAGTCTTGTTTCCATTTTCTGTTGATATAGAAATACTAACAGCAAAATTTGTTTTTGACAGATAGATCCTAGCTTCGATGTGACCGATACACAAACGCTTGACCCACCTGTCGTAGATATTAGTTCCTCCGTGTATTTCAGTTCTCCGGTAAGTTTCCTGGGGGGACATGTTCGGAAGGACAAAGCATAGTTTAAATTAATAGGTTAGTGGCAATGTGGACTTCTCTAAATTGATAAAATGTAGTCAGAGTCCAATAAATAGTTTTACTATTAAGAGAGTCTTAACTTCTTAGCCGCCGTGTTCAAATTTCCTTCCACAATTCAGTGTTAACCAGAAGATGGTGCAAGAGTGAAGTTTTCACTTTGCTTAAGAGATTTAGTCTTTTATTGTACTGAAGAAAAGCTCATAATTAGCTGTTGAAAAATCACATAATATTGTTTCTGTGTAAATATTTAATTTATGAAATATTTGATTTTGCTAACTTAAGTTGCAGACAAATAGACATGTACTGGAAAACAAAGAACAGTCTTCTTATTGATAAAGAGTGCCAATAATGATATGATTTGATTTTTCTCCTTTTATAGTATCAGCTAGCGCACATCATTCTAAGAAGGAATGATAGGATTAGTTCCTTTTAGTGTTCACTTTCATGTAACAGTGGTGTGTGGGAGGAAAGAAAGGCAATATTTAAATGGTGCTTTCGTAGGAGGAGAAAAATGCACACTCGGTGTTGGATAATAAAGGATGTACTGTTCTAGAGTTAGGTTAAAATGAGAAATCCTTTTCTAGGATGAGAATGTTTCCTCCCTCCCTCTCCCTCCCCCTGAATTATTAGCTCTGAAATTGTTCCACTGAATTTATTAGATGACAGGATTTGTAAAGAGTGTGCTTTCTAAGGCAATGGTAATCACCATAAGTAGGTTTCATCTGGCTAGAGTGGATGGATGATTTTATGGTTAAAACACCGGACTGTGCAACAGATGTGTGTTTTGCTCCCTGTCTTCCCTCAGATTTTGTGTGACCATGAATGTCACTTGATCTCTCTGTCCCCATCTATAAAATGATGGTAGTAACACCTACATACAGGTGTGTGGTAAGAGTTATTTAATGTTTTAAAAGTGCTTTGAGATCCTTGAATGAAATGCTGTGTAGAGGTTCTAGTGCTGAAATCCTCACATAATATTTGGCTGTTGTAATTCAGATGCTTTGATCTCCGTAGCAATTTTGCTGTTGTGTTTTCAGTGTCACCAAGAAAATTTAGCTCTTTAACCTAGCTGGGGTCAAAATAATCCACGCACTTTACTGGGTATTTATTTTATAACTCTTGTAAGTAGTGGGAGAGAAAATACCAAAAAAAGACCACCAGAGTAGCATTTAACTTCAGAAAGATTAACTATACAAAAACGAGGAAGCTATTTAAGTGAAAATTAAAAGTTACAGTCACAAGAGTGAAACAGCAAAAAAAATTAAGCACATCAGAAGTAGGAAGCCTGCCAAACAATCAGTGGGACTACTGGATGATTGAGTTGGTAAAGGAGCATTCAAGGAAATCAAGGCCATTGTGAAGAAGCTAAATTAATTCTTTGCATCGGTTTTCATTTTGAAGGATATGAGGGAATTTCCCACACCTAAGCCTTTCTTTTTAGGTGACCGATCTGAGGAACTGTCCCATATTGAGGTATCAGTAGAAGAGTTTTTGGAACAACTTGTTAAATTAAACAGTAATAACTCACCAGGGCTAGATGGTATTTACCCAAGAGTTTTGAAGAAATTCAAATATGAAATTGCAGAACTACTAACTGTGTTATGTAATCTATCATTTAAATCTGTTTCTGTACCAGATGACTGGCAGCACATTAGCTATCATCCAATTTTTTTAAAAGGTTCCATAGGTGATCCTGGCAGTTACAGGCTTGTAAGCCTAACTTCAGTAACATGCAAATTGGTTGAAAATATAGTAAAAAAACAGGATTAGCACACTCATAAAAGAGCACAATATTTTGGACACTAGTCAACTTGGCTTTAGTAAAGGGAAATGATGTCTCACCAAACATATGGACAAGGGTGATCTAGTGTATATGGTGTACTTGGACTTTCAGAAAGCCTTTCACTAGGTCCTTCACTAAAGGCTCTTAAGCAAAGTAAGCAGTCATGGGATAAGAGGGACCTTTCCTTTCATGGATCAGTAACTGGTTAAAAGATAGGAAACAAAGGGTGGGGGTAAATGGTCAGTTTTCAGAATGGAGAGAGGCAAATAGCTGTGTCCCCCAGGAATTTGTATTGCGACCAGTACTGTTCATTCATAATTGATCTGGAAAAAGGGGTAAACAGTGAGGTGGCAAAATTTGCAGATGATACAGATTACTCAAGATAGTTAAGTCCAAAACAGACTGTGAAGAGTTACAAAGGGCTCTCACAAAACTGGATGATTGGACAACAATATCAATAAATCCAAAGTGGTGCACATGGAAAAACATAATCTCAACTATACATATAAAATGATGGGGTCTAAATTAGCAGTTATCACCCAAGAAAAAGACCTTGGACTCATTGGGGATACTTCTCTGAAAACATCTGCTCAATGTACAGCGGCAGTCAAAAAAGCGAACAGAATGTTAGGAACCATTAGGAAAGGGATAGATAATACAGTAAATATCAAAATACCAGTATATAAATCCCTGGTACGCCCACAGCTTGAATACTGTGTACAGTTCCGGTCGCCCCATCTAAATAAATAAGTAAATATTAGTATTGGAGAAGGTACAGCAGAGAAGGGCAACAAAAATGATTACGGGTATGGAACAGCTTCCATATGAAGAGAGATTAAAAAGACTGGGACTGTTCCGCTTCGAAAAGAGATGACGGGGGGGGGGGGGGTCATGATGGAGGGCTATAACGGGGTTCTCAGACTTTTGTACTGGTGACCCCTTTCACACAGCAAGCCTCTGAGTGCGACCCTCCTTATAAATTAAAAACACTCTCTTTTTATATATTTAACACCATTATAAATGCTGGAGGCAAAGCGGGGTTTGGGGTGGAGGCTGATAGCTCACGATCCCCCATGTAATAACCTCGGGACCCCCTGTAGGGTCCCGTCCCCCAGTTTGAGAACCACTGGTCTATAAAATCATGAATGGTGTGGAGAAAGTGAATAGGGAAGTGTTATTTATCTCTTCACATAACCTAAGAACCAGGGGTCACGCAATGAAATTAATAGGCAGCAGATTTAAAACAAACAAAAGGAAGTACGTCACACAATTCACAGTCAACCTGTGGAACTCGTTAACAAGATGTTGTGAAGGCCAAAAGTATAACAGGGTTCAAAAAGGAATTTGATAAGTTCATGGAGGATAGGTCCATCAATGACTATTAGCCAAGATGATCAGGGATGCAACCCCATGCTCTGGGAGTCCTAAGCCTCTGACTGCCGGAAGCTGGGAGTGAATGACAGGGAATGGATCACTCAGTGATTGCCTGTTCTGTTCGTTCCCTCTGGGGCATCTGGCATTGGCCACTGTTGGAAGACAGGATACTGGGCTAGATGGACCATTGGTCTGACCCAGTGTGGCCACTCAACAGACAGAATTTTCTGGCTGTTCAATAATTTTTTGAAGTGTGTTGCATCTGAATCTTACCACTGATTGCAGGACTCAAGTGTACATGTATAGATAACAAAGAGAGATATTATAACGCCCCCAATCACATAATTTTATCAAGTTAATCTCATTCATTTGTTTACCTGACCTATGACTGCTTTATGAAACATTTGTGTCCAGAATGCATCTTGTGGAGTTGAATAATAAAATGAAGCGTTGATACATCCCTGGTAGCATCCCCTTGATTGCTGACAGCATCCCTTTCACTTTATAGCCTTTTGTCGTCTTTATTATAAGAGATATAACTACAAAACTCACCTATATGACTCTGCCAATAATGTACTAAATGTGAGATGGGTTAGCTTGTCCATCTATCACTCAGCCATGGCTCTCACCACACTCTTCTGCATCATAGTATCTGTGCTTTCCCCTTTCTTTCCTCCCTCTGGCTGCATTTCAACATAATTGTTCCCCTTACCTCCTACAGTCCCCACCTTCTCCTTTCCCCACCAGCACAAATCCAGATCCCACATCTACACCCTCCTCTTCCCCCTCACCTATGATGACATTTGCCCCACCTTCCCTCCATCACCCACCGTCTCCCTGTCACCCATTCGTCCCTCTTGTGCCATCATTCCTAATCTCACCCCACCCCCTTGCTGTCTTTGGGACACCCACTCCATCTCTTAAAGAAAAATGAAACAAAATGCTCCCTCCCTTGGAAAGCTACAGAAGGCTTCTTTCCCCAAAATCCTTACAAATTTTAGGAGATTATTTGGTGGAGCTCTCAATAAACCTTCCCACGGCGAGCCTAATCCTTTGTCGCTTTGAGGGCCTTCTGTATACCTTGCCTTAGGACCCTTGTATAGGGGCCCTGTAAACCATAGGAAACTCAATAGGGCCCCAGCCTTCCAGGAAGAATGTTTCTATCTATTTGGGGGGCGGGTATTGCTACAAAGTGTCAAAAAATGTTAATTTTTAAAATTTTGAACTACCACCTTTTTAGGGTATTCTAATTCACTTTATACTTGGTGGAAAAATTCTATCTTGAACCAAGATCTATCCTACCATCTTTGAGAATGATATGACTTTTTTTGTGTATTTTAGATTAAGGGACAGAATTAGCCTTCTAATGAGAAAAGTCTCAATAACCTTAATTATGGAGTATCTGGCAGCCTTATTATAATTATGAAAGCTTTGGGAGTTATTGAATTATATGTTGAAATAGTTCTTGGGCACTTTGGACTATTGATTGTTAGTTCTGTTGTCTGTTTCAGTAAAATTAGGAAAGAAAGCAATCCCTAGATGTGGCTTTTCCTTGTTTGGTTAGTTTTTTGTTGTTGTTCATACAAGAATAATAGAATAGCTGGAATTTGCACCATTGTTAGCAAGAAGAGACTGCCAGTTCTGAATATTTCCCCCCTGCAGTCCTGTTGTAGCCAATAAATACTACAAACTGGGGAGGGGGGCATGAAGGAACATTCAGGGGGACACGGTGGGGCCCAGGCTAGCCTCCACAGGGGGCGGGGAGGGAGCACCACCTTGCCCCAC